TTAAATTTATGTTCGAAAAATGTCAAAACGAATATCATTGTTGTGTAGAATCTTTTTTATCAAAAATACCTCGCAGCTTTTAGAATCACAAAAAGAAAAACCCGGTAGATAGTGATACGCTTAAGAAATTAACATATAATGGAGTAGTATAATCCATTAAACAAATAAGTGAAAATATGTTTGTGACTCTATTTTCATTAGTTTATTTAAAAGATAATGTTAATGTTGATAATAAGCTATTTTTTATCTTTACATTTGACTCGCATAGTAATGCATATTTCTCTTTGAATGATTATTTTTGCTAAAAGGAAATTGGTCAATAGGTTTCGATCAAATATCTGGTGAATTCTTATAAAAAATTAAATCGATTATCACGTACACTCATTACTCACCTTGCTTTTTTTAGGCGGTTGCTAGATAAAGATACTTTTACAACTATTCTTAAACTGAGTTAGGTTAATCTAATTTCAAAATCTGGTAGACTGTCTAATGTTTCAAGTTATAGATATACTTCTACATAATCTCATATTTTCAAATTATTTGAATCTATCATTTTAAAACATAAATAACAACTTGTTAATAAATATTTGATGAAAAAAAAAACATGGTTTTCGATTTGATTGTTCTGCTTTTTTACAAAATCTTGTTTTGACTTCATCCGTTTTTAATACGTTCAAAAATAATGCTCAACTAAATCTATTTTTTATTGACTTTAAAAAAGCTTTCGATTCAGTAAATCACGTTGTACAAATTAAAATATTTATTGCGTCAGAGTTTGGTGAGCCTCTTATTTCATGGTTTAGGTTATTTATCAGTTATATATATATATTCTAATGTCAATGTGTTTGGTATATTTCTGATATTTTCTTGCCTTGTTTTGATGTTCCAAAGGTTTTAAATCATAGCAAGCTGCTCTGTTTTGCTGATGATATGAAAGTTTTTATGTATATAAATTCTCTTACAATTACCGTAAGTTACAAAGTGATTTCAATAATTTTGTTGAGTGGTTTTAGTTTATATGTTTAGAATTTAACTTTGAAAATGTCATGTCATGAGATTCACAAAAATTGTTCTACTTTAAAATGGCCTAATGAACTATTTGATTCTACTATTTCGCGTGTTGATGGTATCAACTTGATACCGTTGATTACACGGGTTTTAAATTTAATAATTATTTCAATCCAGAACGTCATATTAATATACTGCGTCAACTTACAGAATGCTGAGATTTATGAAATGACTTGCTTATGATTTTAAACTTGATTCATCTTTAAAAACTTTGTATAATGCACTCCGATTTTAAAATACAGCATTATTCCTTAGAATCTGCATATCTCTGTCTATTCATATCAGATTAAAATGGTCCAACAGAAATTTCTGAGTTTTTTGATTTTATTCTTTACATTTAACATCTACTATAAGATTACTGTCATATTTCTTACGCACTTAATACTAAAACCCTTACGAAACGTAGACACTTAATTGGGCTTTAATCATTAAATGAGTTATTAACCGGAAAAGTCGGTTCCCCGTTCCTTCTTAATTTAATCAACTTCAAGATCCATCAACGTACTTCTTGACATTCCTTTCCTTTCTACGTTTTTCGCTGTGCTTTTAATTATTTAGCTAATAAACCTATTAGAAGACTATTTTATCTTACCAATAGCGATGCATCTTTTCTTAGTTAATACAGATATCTACCATGTGTTATAAATCCAATTCATTATTAGTTTTTTTTTTAATACACACACACACACACACACATATTATTCAAAATGTTTTTTAGTAAAATTTAGGTTCAAAATTTAAGTAAGTATAATTATACTGATAGATATTTTAAGAGTATTTTTCATGATTAATAGATATTAATAATATCTATTAATCATGAAAAATAATAAGTATAATATTTTTTTTTTTTGTGTAATCTATTTTACTATCTCATTGGCGACTACCGGACTACAGCCTATGCATATTAAACTGTTTTAAAATGTATCATGAAGTTTTATAAATTAAGAGAGAATATAAATAAATTTGTAGATATAGATTCAAAACATTTAATACAAAATAGAATAGAATATATTTAAAAGGCATCAAGTTAAATTAAGATAGAAGGTTTTGACAGACTAATAAATTAATAATAATAAAATTGAAAATTGATATAAACATTGTGTGGGTTGTAATTATGATTTTTTTTTCTTTTTAATAACATGAAATTATTGAATATTTTTTAATATTTAAAAAAAAATTATGTGTCGAGCTATTTACGTGTGTTTTTAAACGTTTATATTACTATTACTGAGTTATGAGTAAGAATAAATTAAATGGGAATACAAAATAAATTTATGGTCGACTGAACGATTTACTAATACGCAAAATAAAAATGACTTTAGTATTGAAAACTTTTAAGGTCTACAAAAAAATGGAATAAATTAAATTGTTGCACAACTATGGATGAATTTGTAGATAGAATCGATATCTAGATAGAATAAACGATCGGAATTTAAATTTTATTTAACAAAGTCTCTTGTAATGTATATTTTATACTGGTCGGATTTTTCAAAGCTCGATTTATGGTAGCTATTGAAAATCATATTCCGTATTACAAGTTATAATACGTTGTGTGGTCGCGGATCGTTGTATTGTATGCGAAAATACAAAATTACATTGCATATACGTACAAATGAATATATTATTACACTGTTCGCGTTTGAGTTATTTCCAATTATTTTGGCATATCAGCGATTGCTCAATTAAACGTATGATTTTACTCAATATTAGAGTATACAACATGAAATCAGGTTTGTTTGTTATTCGGGGTTTCAATTGGGTCACACCCTTTCTTTTGTATGCGTAGCATTGAAGCAGTAACCAAAGGTAAAATTGATGGTCGGCGTACGAATTAATATCGAGCAACCGCAAACAACAATTGGAATTCAGTCACAAAACGAGTCAGTGTTCGGTTAGTGTACAGGTAATAAGTGATGTATCAAAGTTTCAAGGCATAATCAGTTTTCAATTGATTTATATTTTCTATATGAGACGTACATATTGTACGAGTTTGAATAGATAAAAGTATAATATAACCTGTATCAGACAAACACGGATATTAATGCAATTTAATTATTTTTATACACAGGGTTACGCCAATATTTTCACTTAAAAATTTTCGAGAATTCATGTTCTACACATGGAGTATATTGTGGAAAACTCCTCTTTTTAATGTAAATCGTTTAGTGGATAATTTTTTTTAAACGTCTATGTAAGACTTAATTCAAAATTTGGACGAGTAGTTTCTCAGTTAATATAATAATTATCAAAGTATAATAGTCCTTAAAAATGATTTTACAAAAATATCAAGTACATATAACATTGAATCTAATATTTATTATACTTGGATAATTTAAAAAAATTATAAATGTTGATAGATTAGTATAAATTAGTACAATTTTTGTATTACCGTAGCTCTTATATTTTCAAAACATATTATCATGGATCAATTTATTATCTTTGGTACACAAAGTTAAATAATACTAAAATTATTGTTTGAATTTTGATTTTGATACATTAACTTTTTCAGAAAAAAATATTCGATAAATTATTTATTGTATAAAAAAAGGCTATCGTTTGAAAACCAGAAATTAGTATTTCCACAGGATATTCCTTGTATAATAACAAAAATTTTAAAGTCTTAAATAGGTTAGGTTAGATATACTTAAAAACATCGGCTACATTTTTTTTTTAACTTACAATTTAAGTTGATAAAATGTAAATAATAGAATGGTCAAAACGTTTGGAAATATATGTTAACGACTTCGGGGAATTGAGATGAAAATTGTAGTTTCATTGATTCAACAATAATAATACACAAACTGTATAGTCTCTTCTCGGCGGAATAACAATAAGGCACCTAAGAATATTAGAATTTGTTTTTCCGCTGTATATACTACAATTGCCATTAGGATACGCCATTTATGGTAACAGTCTTGCATCGTTGAAGTTATCGTTTTTTGTCTGTGTAGTTATCATTGGACATTATGGGACGTGTTCTGAGGATTCTACGGGGAATAAAGAAGTGGCGGTACTGAAAGTCTGTCTTTACGATACAATCAGTTTGATTACTACCAGTTTTATCGTCGCATGTTCTAAACGTTGCTATGGATAAACTTATCCTGCTACAATGGTTTTCTTGTTTGCAAAAGTTGTGCGACTCATTAAGAACTTGAATTAATCGCCAAGTCATTTGACCGTATAATAATAAATGCCAGGGTAAAACAATGATATGATCTGCCGATAAATTATTAACTCTTTTTTCTGATTGATTAGAATAATAATGATTAGTTGGTAATTATTTTCGACGACGGTTTGTAATACCAAACTTTGGATAGATTCGGGTTAATAATTCACTAAACAGTTATACCTATCTAGAATAATATGAAGTTTATAAAAACCATTATGTCTGTCACTAACGACTCAAATAGCTTGAAATAATCTATGTAAGTTGGTTGTTTAGTATTAAATTACTATGCTGATGGTATAAATATAAAATTAAAATAACTCTAAGACCAATTGCTTTCGGTTATTACAAAATATGTTATAAAAGACGATTTGGAAAGCTTTTCTTCATTTTTATTAATTTCAATTTGAAATTCAGTTTAGACATCTACTAGTTAATAATACTACTATAGACATACGACTACCAGTGTTCTCTATTTAAAATATTTTCCTAATTATTTTAGTTTTAAAATTATTTTTATGCTATGTATAGAATTACATATTAAATATACCTACAATAAACACCAATAAACACGTGATACGTGTGTGTGTGTGTATATATGTATATATATATAAACATACAGTGAATATGTATGTATATGTTATTACTACAGAAATACAGCATAAATATGCAATGAACACTGGTTCATATTTATAAAATCAAATGATTTAATTTAATGTCGTAATTACATATTATATAACGGCCAGAATAAACTGACTGTGCTTACCTAGAATAGAGACGCGTGACAAGAATTCTTCATACATTTTTCTCTTTCGAATCGTTGACCCCATAAGTATTCTCCTGTAACTGTCTCGATCCAGGCCCCAGAGCTTCATGTCAGTCTTAGCACGTACCGTGGCGGCTCTCGGTGTACCGTGGATCAAAGCCAGCTCTCCAAAACTTCCACCTTCACCGATAACTGTCACCAGTTCCGAGTTTACGTACACCTAAATCGTGTAACACACAGTGCGAAAAAACGTTAATATTTTGTGTAATTATATCTACGTACAATGTACATGGACAACCAGACAGGAAGTACAGAATACCGAATCATCGGTAAAAAAAATGGTCAAGTATATGGGATATCTTACCTCGACTTCGCCAACATCAATTACGTAAAAATTGTCTCCCTCATCACCCTGTTGAATAATAGACTCGCCCTGTAGAAACGTAACCGGGAACATTGCGTCGAATATATCCGACCGTTCGTTCTCGTCTAGATGAGAGAACAATATGTTTTTAGCGATCGCTTTCGACAAAGCCGCCATTGTTTTGTAGTCTTTTGGTACTACCTGAAATGTATCGAAGAAAAAATGATTATTTTAATATAAACTATAAATTCCTATCACATTATTATACTTATGTCTTATATTAATAAGTAATAACTTAAAAATTATCGTATTTATCACTCAAACAAAATAACTATTTTAATATATTATGAATGAGATACAGATATCATTCTAGAATCGATTAATTCAAATAAAGGGGTATTCAAAACGTTTTAAAAATACTAAAGTATACTATGCTAAATTTAATTAAAATTAGAGTAATTAATAAATATTAAAAAACAATTTAATAAACAAACGAAGAAGTTGTATAAATATTGAAATACGATATACATTTAGACTTAGATGTTCTAATAAAGTAATAACTTTCACTTCATCTTTATCTAGCACGCAATATGTTTACTAAATGTGTAAAAGGTTTATATAAACGTTAGCTGTATTATAGATACTATAACATAAAGTATTACGTTATTTAACTTATATTTTATAAGTTGATAAATAACAAATTTAAAAAAAATTTAAATGTTTATTTAGGTATAATTTACCAATAAAAGTACAACACTTATCAGACAAAAAATAATTCGTACAATAAAGTTAATACCTTATAACAAACAATTATTTATCAGTGATTAAACGAGTCAAATATATGAACTTAATAAAATTTCGGTTTTTAAAATAAAAACATACTAATGACTTTGATAAGAGGAAGGTGAATTGTCATCAATAAAATTGTATTTTATTAATTACATAAGTAAGCTTGACATTTTCCAACTTGTAACTAAATATTTTTACTGAAAATTTTTATTTTTATTTACGAGTATTTATAAATAATGACCCAAGGTTTTAGTCTATTTGTTTAGATTTTTTTGCAAGTCCTTTAAATAGTTTAACAGTTAATATAGTAACTGACCTCTAGCTTCACTTGAATATAATTAATTACAAAAATATCAGTAAAAACATAACATTAAACAGCTAAGTTTATACACATTTTTGTAATAGACTGTTCATTAGGGTGAAGTATAGAAAGTTGTTTAGTCCATTGTTTTTTGTTCATACTTCTTTCAAACGGTTGTGTTATCAAAGTAACCTCGTCTATTGTACGTATGGTACAGATAGTTTCTAAAATATTAGTACCATTAAAGAAAAAAACATGTTTTTGTTTTGCTGCCTACATAACGTCATAATAAATTGTGAAAGCTTAGAGCCCACTATGGTAAAGGTTCACAAAAAGAGGAAAAAATATAATAAAATAAGTTAAAATAAAAAAGTTATTTTTTATTCATACACCATAATTTAAGAGTTGGCATTTCAGGAAAACTGGTGTGACATACTGACACTTCATAAATGTTTTTTATGAGAACAAAATTATTTTTTTACAACACTTTTATGCAATATATTTAATTTAAACTCTCTCAACAGTAAAAATATCAAACGGTCATAATATATCTAGTATTTGTGTATCAACCTCATTGAAAATTAATGTCTTCAAGTAATTAGTCAAAAATGAATAAAATATATAACATAAATTAGTGCTTACGAATATATAATATTGTAAGATTGATTCTAAACCAATTTCAAATGCGGTTCTTTTTTTTATGTTTATGCGACGTCAAAAATATAGAGTATATAATTATCCTAAAGTTATACTTTAAAAGGAATGTATTGTAATTATTAATTAGGTTAGTAAAACCATTGGATCTCAATTCAGAAATATGTCCAATGTCTTTACTTTTTAATTTCAGTTGTTAGTATTTGAAATAAAACATACAAAAGCAAGTTGAGTGGGTAGATTCAAGTTTTTAATTTCAAGAAGTTTCAAAAACACGTGTAGGAGGGCCACTGTATAAATTCCAAGCAATTAGATACGTACCTACCTAAAATTTAGATATTTTTATGCATTTTTTATCCTTTAATTTAAAATAAAAATAAATTATTTGTCACTAGATTAAATAGCATTAAAATACAATTCAATTATTGTATTATGTTTAAAACTTGAAAAGGCAAACAAAAAATTCTAGTATCATGATAATTCATCTTTAATTTTAATATTTATAATTTTATTTTTATTTTTAGAAAACTATTCAGTATCTTAAAGATGTGATACTGAATTTTAATTCGTTCAAATAAATTTACAGCAGATAAAAAGGGTTTAAAGTAAATAATAAGGATATTTATTTTATGTGAATAAAAGGATATTAACATATATTATTATTAAACACTTATTTTATTAATGTGCTGTGTATATGCATCGATTAATAAATACATTTTAAAACGTCACAAGATTAAAATCTAAAAATAAAAGTTATGAAATTAAGACATCATTAAAGATACATAGGTGAAAATGGATATTTTTAGAATCTTCAAATTTCAAATAAATAGGTTTATATTTATCTTAGCGTGAATTCTTGGTTTGACGAAGCGAAAAATAAAGTTGCTTACACGTCGCACGCATGGATAGACAAAAAACAAAATTATAAGATTATTATAAGCTACTGTCATATTTAATATAATATTTTACTTTCATATTAATAATCGTTTAAAAATTATTTTAAATCTAATTACAAGCAATTAACATTTATTGACGTTAATCATAGGTAATTTAATGCAGTTTATGATTTCAATTGAGTATAAAGGTCAACAATTTAAATAGTACAGAGAACTATATCTCTTATATGAATATCATATATTTTTGTAGCAATAGAACGAGTTTGATACTTTCACTCTTAAAAGTAAAATAATAATAATAAAAAATACCAGCCATCTTAATATAGTTGACCTTTGATATTACTTTAACAATTATTATTACTTATCATGCGAATGGGTAATATTAGAATGTAAAATGAGGTTATAATAAGTTAGCAAATACCAACAAGTTATTAAATACTATAGTCACTAGGTAATAGGTATAATGAAAAATATATTACTAATATAATTTTATGATTTTAATAATTGATAAAAGATTTCAAATACCGTTAAAATAGATCTTCAAATGAATTTATTTTTATGATATTTCTACACGATTAACTTCTCTTTCCTTCAACATAATAATATTTCAGATGCAGAACTGACTCTCGTAATAACATAGAGTATAAAATCCTTCATAACCAATGATGTATATTACGAGCCTCATAAATAATTAATTATAGTACATTAAATTTTAAACAGGAAAAATTGCATTCACAAATTATGTTTAATGTTGAAGACATAAACAAATAAAATTTTGATCGATGCGTTAACAAGATCGATAAAATTTTATGAGTATTCATGTTGCAAATGTTTAATTAAGTATTTAAAATTATAGTTTTGAATATTAAATAAGTGAGATATCGCAATATTTTTTCGTGAATAAGTATAATTAAATCGAAATAATTAATCTTGTAGTACATTTTTTTTTTTTTTTTATGGCAATATTTCATGTAGTCAAAAGTTTTTAAATATTTTACCTAATACTACTCACTACTACTATACATAAATATGTTTGCCGACTATATAAAAAAAAAAAAAATATCACGCAATTATTCATGAGATGTGTAGTGTGCACAAATACCGGTGAAATGCATTTGACTGTCATCATTTTATTAACTTAAATCCCTCGTGACAAAACCGATTGCGCTATTATGAACGACATCATAATAAAATGACGTACATACGATTTCCTTTTTATTTTTTTTTTTTACGCGTATAAGTATCTTAGTAACACGCTCAACTCACTTTCTTGACATAGCTAGTAGCTTCTTCTTCAGAAACGTGCTCAGCCGATATGCCACCTCTTCGCCGGATCGACTGTTGGACGTGACTCGCAGGACCTGACGTCGGTGCTGACTGAAAGAACTCATCTGTTTCTCCGTGTTGGTTGTCGTTCCCCTGCTCTTGTTCCTGCGTCAAAAAAAAAAAAAAATAGTTAAGAGAAAATCTAACTTTAAAAAATAATTGAAAAATGTATAACATAATTTGCGTTTAATCGTTTAATTTTGGGGCCGAGTATTGATGCTCTAAACAAACGCACTAAAAACCTACATTATTGTCGTCCATAGCAAAATTAATTAATATTTAGGAAATATATACAAAAAAATATACTTAAAATTATTAAGACCCTTCAATTATTTTTAAAATTAATAAATTATATTCATTGATAACATAATTAGATTTTATGTACGAAAAATAAAATGTAATAATTTAGATAAATAAATTGTAAATAAAAAATAAAACTACGACATTAAATTAACTAATTATATTATATAAAGCAGGTTAAAATAACTAAAAATGATTTAAAATAATAAATAATTATAAAAAAAATCTCCTTGAAAATAAACTTTTGTTTAGATTTATATGTTGTTTAACAAGTAATTCAGCTAGACAAGTATTTGTCTAAGTTTTAGATCGATACTTATAGAAAAAAGTTATCATTTCATCAACATCCATGAGGCTTTAATTATTATAAATTTTATCTCAAGCATATACCTTGAAGAACACAATAATCTATATGGTTTAGGTATGATGATACAATAACATTAAAATATTAAGTGTGCAGTTCAAAGAAAACTTTACAAGTCTAATATGACTGGTAATATAAATACAAATAATATAATAATAATAATAATAATAATAATATGTAATACGTATATAGTATACTACTACATGGACACTCTATAACCATGCGACTCCCACGTTCGGTAGATATACTATTATGATGCGATTATTATGTTTATCAGTCGATCGACTGACATCAAACAAATATTGTTTACCCTATAATATTTATTCAATAAACAGTACACTAAACATATGAGAAAAGAATCAAAGGGTTTAGGGTATAATCGATGTTATGCATAATCATACGTTCGTTAACAGAGAGGAAATATTTATGTTGGAATAAGAATTTAATTTAATTTTGTATTAAATTGTAATAATATTATGTTGAAATAAAAAATATAAAGTAACTTGAATTTTTATTTTTTATTTATACCATTACATGTTTTTTTCGTCTACCATTATACGTGTTTATTAATCTGACGTTTATTTAAATTCAAAGTTGCACAACATAAGATTATGATGATCACCATCCAATGTTAACGTTGTTTCAACTAAAATAATAACATACCAACCTATTTTAGGTGTATTAAATTAAAAATTATAAATATTGAGTGAAATAATGAATATAAAATTAATATTTGTACCTACTTATTTCTTCTAGTATTAATTTAAAACCGTTATATTTTTATTGAAATATGTAAATAAACTAAAGTTTTTAATACAACAGTAGTTTTTTTTTTTTTTAAGCCGATGATAGGAATATTCTTAATATTCAGTAACCTGCAAAACCTCGTTCGTGTTTAATGTCAGAATCAAAAGGATAATTTACATTTTAAATGAGTTGACCTAACTAAATTAAAAATATATAAATAAGGTTGAAAAAAATTTAAGAATGATTTATGCTATTTAGAAAATTAAATCATAATTTTGGATATAAAATAAATATTGAAAAAATTTGATTATTTTGAAATTGTACATAATTCACATCATGAAAAATCGATTATTTTACAGTATAACGTGAAGCTCATTAAATTAGTTTATTATGAATAAAAAGAACTGGCAAATTGAAAAGCTAATTATTTCTTTAAAAACAAATGTTTCCCATAAATCAAGCAACCAATTTTATGATACAGGATGGATTTAATTTTACTGATCGTATAAAGATATAAAAACACTATAAACACCATCAACAAAAACAGATTTTTAGGTGACATTAACTCCATTAATGTAAAAAAAAAATCTCAAAATTTAAAGAAGGTTTTAATAGTTTTTTGTGGCTTGCGTATTTCTGTATTAATACGACGAGAATAACAAAGAAAAATAACACGAGCAAAGAAAAAAAAAATTCAAAAATCTGACAATGGAGAATATTCATTTTGTGTGCTAGAGTGCATTCAATGTGGAAATAAGAAAAGTGGTCTCTGTTGGTCGATGGCGGTGAGGCGATTAAAAACGCGAGATAAGGAATCATAAAAATAAAAACAGACTAATGGAATAGAGGCAAATCAAATATACAACATAAAGGACTAAAGGAGATGAAAACTAAAAGAAAGCGCTCAGTCGGAGACAAAAAAAAAAAAAAAAAAAAAAAAATAAGGATATGGTTTGGCCACACCGAGATCTGTCACGAGAAATGCAATAAGCAAATCGTCGCCATTGCCGAGGTGATCCTACCACTGAATAATATTATATATATATATATATTATTATTATTATTATTATTATTATTATTATTTTATACGTTCATTCGTCGAGTGGAATGTCTGATCTCGAATTCGCACACGTTTTCGAGACGTGGGTTTATAATGTAATATTTTGGCGTCCGGGCGGAATTATGGTACCTTTATACGTATAGATATAAATATAAATGCGTATTTATTATACACATAGCGACGAGCGTAGTTTTTTGCCATTTTAGCTATGTACAGGGTTGAGGGCGAGCGTATGGACTATTTCGATGTATAAAATTGTCAATTATAAGTGACGCACTCTGTATACACAAATAGCACAAACGACAAGACAGATGGTCAGTACAGCGGAAGTACTGATATGGGGTTGTGAGAGGAGAGGAGAGAAGGGATTAAAGCTTTAAAGCTGCAGTGATAAATAATATCAGTCATTCATTTTTCATTACTAGTGATAGGGATATTTAATACACCACATCATATATTATAACTACGAATATAGGTATGACAAACGACCTTATTTGACAACTATTCCATTAGCATATTTCGGGGAAAAGTACGAGGAATTTAAGGAAATTAATGCAAGAGACATATTGTTAAAACTCAAAAAGTCTAAGAACCTAAAAAAAAAAGGCCAGCAATCGACTAAGAATGGAGAATTGGATTTTTAAACCAACCTATGAGTTAAGAAAACTAAAATCAACAACAATAATATTACTGTTAAACGGCGAAATAATCAAATATATCGAATTTTTGGCGAGGAAAACATAATGCGACGTACAGCAAAGGGTAGTTCATTAATTAATTTTTCATTAATGATGAGTCTATCGTACGAAAATTTATATCAGACCCGTACGAAGTACCTAGAAGTCATCGGTAAGTATTTTGGCGATTAACGGCAAAGAACTTGTGATCGGAAACATACTCATCTCATAAAAAATAAACTACTTTTCAAGAGGATTCTGTGAACAGATGATAACTGTTATTATTATTATTATCATCGTTTTAAGACGGCATCTGTGCTACTCTGTTGCGGGGAGTGCTTGCGTCCATTTTACTCGGTCGAATAGCGTTGTTGTAATTTCGGCCTCTGAGGTACTTCCGGCCGTCCCGGAAAGAAGAACGAACAGTTATACAATATTATGATAATAATAATATATTATGACCCAATTTCCGCGGGTCATCGTACACTTCCTCGAAGTGTGCACTTCCACGTATATTTTTTTTGCGGAAAACCTCCCTTCAATCGTTCGATTATACAACCGCATAGTATTATGCATACGTAAATGTAAACTGTATGACAAGGCGACGTACTCCACGCACACACATGATACATTCACATAAACCACCTCATTCTCATCGCCTGCACATATTATATATCCTTGTCGGGCACGTATTGCATAGTACCTAGGTACTTATAATATGAGTACAGGATTTTGTATTGTGTAACACTATTACGATTGCGCGGACGACACCAAGTGTCCTCTGCCGCCTTGTTGTGTATAAGTATTTTTCCACGACGTGATATCGAAATAGAAACAATGACTCTATGAAAAATTGAACTTAGGTATCTCAAGGAAAAAAAAAACAAACACAAACGCTAACGTTTTTTGTTAAATTAAAATTCCATCACGAAGATAATAATACTGTATATTATTAAAGTCCTGAAGTATTATGCATTGTGATATTTCTGTAAAAGTATTAAGCACTTATGTAATATAATGTATAGAAAAAAATTACCAAATACGTAGTTTGTACACGTTTTTAATAAATTGTATAATATGTATAATATTGTGACATTATAGATGGGTTTAACAAATGATCATCTAACCTATATAAATTGTTAAAAAAAAAAAAAAAAAAAAAAATAGCATTTACACGAATAATTAATAACGCCTATTAGCTCAATCGTTTCATAAAGATAAAACTAAAAGTATGCCAGACAGAAATTTAAATTAAAACAATATGTCATAGTTGACACGCGTTTTTTTTTCAAAAACTTGACTTCTATTTGATAAGTAATAGTCATTCATCATAACAAAATACGTATGTGGTATTTCATTTACTCTAAATTTAGTTTATTTTTATAGTAGAAGGTAACTAGTTTATAGCATTACAAAACACAGGACATTCACCATTTGTCAGAACTATAGTTTGGAAAAATACATTTTTTTTTTTAAATGTTAAAAGCTAAGTCGTTTCAATGGATGTATCATGTTTATATTTTTATCATATTGTTTATGATAAATGAATAAAAATGAATATTAGTTCTTTAATTGCATAGTTTTTGAACAGCGACCTTAGAATTCTAGTAAAATATAGTATAACTTAAAAATATAACTGTAAGATCATTCTCATATTATACCAAATTATTATTATATAATGAAATTGATTTATAAAATTAATATATTAGTACACTTATTTTAAATTAGTTTTATTAATATTTTTTACAATTATATTGATTAAATAGCATCAGATGAAAAAAGTGGAATAAAATTAAGAATTGAAAAATAAATGAAATTTGATTGCATTAAACAATTTTAATATATATATATATATATATATTATAGGTATATTGCATTAATGTTTACATTTTTTTTACATGTTTATAATTTTTAAATTGTCATACTACAGAAAAAATATGAAATATAAAATTCGGTC